TGCCTATTCTGCCTCCCTAGCTGTAGATCATTCCCTTTTGACATTGGTCGTCATGGATTTAATTTTAAATTTTTGGGGGTGTGCGATAGACTTACCTCCATGTGGTGCACCCTGGGCAACGTATACTCATACGGCAAAAAAGTCTATTAACCGACAGTTGACTTCTCACTTCAAACTACCATGACCCCACTGTATGTCATAGTCGACCACTTCTACAGTACTCACCTTACCCTGCTCTCTATCATTGTGTCTGTCTCTTTTACATCTGCTAATCGCTCTTCGGTCCACCCTCTTGAATTTTTTTAAAATTTAATGTTTCTCCCCTCTGTGAAGTTCGAAGTCAGCTAAGTACTAATGATAACTATCAAAATGCCTGCCATTCGAAATAAATTTAAAATTTTTAATCCTAAATGCCATCGAGAAAAATTAATTTCCTTGCTAATATTGACAGAAAGAATGCATTATTATTAATGATATTGATTATCACATTTCTCTTGCCATTAGGATAGTTAGGAACCACCAGGGATAGAATCGGTAAAGGTTAACATTTCCACATCATGTTCAATTTTTAAAAGTAAATCTGCTAAATTTCTGACCTAGAAGCAGTAAAACAATTGATGTGTGTGTTTTTTAACCACATGATGCAAAAAGGTCCCTTTGCGTGCCATGTTAAATGTGAGTGCATAGGTGATTTATGCCTCTTATTCTTCTAGGTCACTTAATCTTGTTCTTCGCACAATAAAAAAGGACTTATTTATATGCGCCTAATAATAGCAATTCCCAAAACCGCTCATTTAGCATGGCATTCTCAAACGCTCATCGCGAGTAGATAGTTGCGTAATAGCGTCAATTCCTGACGCTATATTAGCCAGACTTAGCGTGGGCGGGTTGAAGTCGGATCTGTGACCTACACGACGCGACACAAGTTTAGGCTGGCTGTCTAACTTTACTTGGAGGAATAGTTACCTTGGATGCTATGCTTGCATTGCACTTTTCAGTGTTGTATACGCCCTTCTCACTATTGTATGTTGTATGAATGACACTCTCGGTAATAATACACAACCACCTTAATCCAGCATACCGATGAAACAGACTAATAAGAAAGTTGCTTTTAAGCGCCAGGCTCAATTAATTGCCCTTTTGTATCTCTCTTTGTCTTCTTCTTCTTTACCTATCTTTACATCAAGTTTCTCATTTTTGTTTGAAATCATTCGCGTTTGTGCTTACTTTTTACGCGATTGGCGAGTAACTTAAAATGTTTCCCTTATTTCGTTTTCTATAGAATCCACGAATTTGCCTCGTTACTTTCTCTCAGTTTTGACCAATAACTCGACTTTAATTTTTGAAATTGTCGCGTTTGTTTTCCTCTTCTATTCGGGAATCACTTGTTTTTTTGCATAAAATCAACATGGAAATTTTAGTAGGCAGGGATTACGATTTCAATACTCACCGGTGCATATATATGGTGATGCGCATGACCAACAAGCAAAAAAGGAGGTGACTTTCGATAAGCGAATTGTAATTCATTCTGATATTCTTCATTTCGAAGCATTTCTTTTGTCGGAACTTGTAGCGTCCATTCTTAACCCTGATACCTAAGGTTGTCTTGCAGCCTTGGTAAACTTAATTAACAAAATTCTTACTTTAATCAAAACCGTATTCATTCCAATGTATGCGCGGTCGCTATTTGAATGACGGTATTTTTGCTCCTATTGCTAATGTAATTGTGTATTGCAGCCACCCAATCGTCAACCTTCGCTTCAAATCGTGCTCAGAACCACCTGCAACCACAGAACACACCAACCTACGCACTTCATCTTACCGACGGCGTGACAACCATCAAGGCGGTGGAAATTGGCACCAAATTCAATCCACATGGAAGATCACCGGAGGAATGTTTTCGTACTGGCGCTAAGGTGAAATTACGAGGCCCCTTGAAATTGTTGAAGGGAGTGCTGATGCTACCGGCTGGAAGTATATCAAGTCCTGAGGCGACTAGTCAGTCGGAAAATGCCCAGTGCCGATTGCTTGGTGGAGAGGTATGTTTAGACTCGCACTCTGTTACTGTCTTAGTGCATTATCTAAATGTAGAATAGGTCCCAATATTCTTAATTAAAATTGCTTTTGGAACAGTTCACCCAATTAATTTTTTTGCCGAATTTTTTTTAATGAGGAGACAAACTTCTTATTCTTTTTGATTTCTAAAATGACCCATGTCTTCGGACGTTAAATGGGGAACCATTGCTTTTCTGTAGGATTTACTATCATCTACATAATTATGTCATTTAAGTACTTAAAGTATTGAGCGTTTAAATACAAGAAACCTATGCTTTCAGAAAGTGATATTTCTTTCCTTGTTTAAGTCCTCTAATATTAATTTGACCGCGTTCTTGGACAATTCGTTTGAAGTTGTCTCTTATGGAAACTTAGTTGCTTGGAAGTTGAAAGATTTGCTTCTTACGTTATATTATAAATACAGATAATACTCGGAAATTATTTATACAATCAAATCTGTCTCATAATAGTACTGATTGTCACATTTATTTGCAATCAAATAGTTCTTCGACTATAACTTGTTATGCTAACTGGCCAATTTAGGCAATCTGATGAAAATTTTCTCAATTCTCTCTTTCATATCCCTCAAAACAGTCGATAGAAGAATATTTCCTTCTTGTTTAAATTCATCCTCTAATTTCAAATTAAATGCATAATTTTGTCCCTAATTAAGGTATCTTGTTACCTAACTTCTCATCCAAACTAATCAAATGTAGTACGATTGTTGTATTTGGTTCTATGGTTTTCCCATACCATGCGCTCTTTCATGCTAAAATTCTAGCATTTAACCCCTTTTGTTAAGGTGGAGTTTGCAGACCCAACTCAGAATGAGGTCGACCTTATCCTACAACGCGAACTCCTTATCAAACTCGATCTTTCTCCAGATAATCCTCCGGATTGGTTTCCCGGTCGCCGAGTTCTTCCTGCTACTACTAACTCTTCAGAAGAACGTGGATCCACGGTCACTGGCACAGATCGTCAATCAAATGCTCGGACAGCAACAGAACAACTTCGTCAACCTCCAACTCAACAAAGCGTTCAAAATAGACCGCTGAGGAGTGTTCTTTTCTCAACAGATGATAGCACAAATCAGCCAAGTGTAAATTCAACTCATCAAGCGGGTTCTATTCAGACAGTTCGTTCACAAACGAGCCGGCAAAATCTTCACCCACTTACAGAGGGAATTCCCGAAGAGCAGATAGAGACAGAAGCTCTTTTTGACGATGATGATTATTTACTTGCATCTGCAGTGGAGAATTTTGAGAGTATGGCATCAACAGGTACCGGCAATGCAATCGAAGGTAAGTGACTGTTTTTTTTAAGAATTCACGCTTACATATAGTCAATTTTAGCTATGCCTCACATTATGTTTATTATCATGGTTTGTGCGTCTACATTTCGATTTATTACTGTAAAGCTTATCTGAGAATGTAATTAGGTTATTTGTTTAACTTATTTGGCTTTTGTTACCATGGTGAAGTGGGTAGACTATGATGAGTAATATGTATTATCTACTTATTATTTATAAGTAGCAGTAAAATTTAAGCTGAGCATGTTTCCTGTCATTAATTGGCTGCATTATTCCGATCAACATTAATGCGAAAGCTTTTTTCAATTATAAATCAATCTCATTGTCTAATCTTTATTCAAATTGTGTATTAATTGATTAAAAGCTCAGTAGTTTCTTCAGAGAGTCGTTCTGCGTCTTATCACAATGTTCTCATGCAATTTCCTGTTTGTCATCTTCCTGTTATTGTTTATAAAGTTTCTGATATATATCTATTCTCATGATTTAATATTAAAAATGACTGATTTTCCTTGTGATATGGCCAAAAGTTAGAGCAATATTTGCTGATTAACTACAACAACGCACTTATTAACAATGTGCTAATAAAAACGTAATAAAGATCCCTAACTAAATAACAAACCTATAATTGGTCCTATAATTTTGTCGAAAAATAATTTCATCTTTTTTTCTTTTCGTTAATTTGTTACAGCTAACTATGGTTCTAGAAGTATGAATGTAAGAAAATATAAGTGAATTTACCATTCAGTTATTCAACAAGCGATGAGTAACGCATTTATGGAATCGATTAGGAATACCCGGGGTATAGATTGTGAAAATTTGGCTTGGGTTCAGCTGAATGGCACAGCGTGAATTGCATCTCTTATGAGCAGATAGACGATTCAATATTTACAGAATGGGGTGTGCGATAGACTTACCTCCACGTGGTGCACCCTGGGCAGCGTATACTCATGCGGCAAAAAGTCTATTAATCGGCAGTTGACTTCTTACTTCAAACTACCATCACCTCACTCTATACCATATTCGACCCCCTACCACTACTTATCTTACCCTCTCTGAGCCTTTGTGCCTGTTTCTTTTACATCTTTGAAACACCCTTCTATTCCCCCTCCCGAATTCTTCTCACTCCGATGTTCCTCCTCCCCTCTGTGAAGCCCGAAGTCAACTAAAGGGCTAATGATAACTATCAAAACGCCTGCCATTT